GACGCTAGTTTTAGGAACTGGAGAAGGAGAGAGACATTTTCTAGAAGATGGTTAAATTTAAGAGGAATAGATAAGTTTTGTGGAGATGCACATAGGGTTCATCAAAGATGAGAATCATATATATATGATTTACAGAGGGGCTACAAATCAGGAACATTTATGATCAAGCGATGTAAGATGGGGAGATGAAAAGTTCACCGGTGAAAAAAATAGATTACGAACAGACACACGGCGCAGCTCTGTAACTCAGACCTGTATGAGACGATGGTGAAAGGAATCTTAACTCATTTTAAACATTAATGGTTTACAATATGGGAAAACTATAACTGTTGTAAACTTGAGGATTTTCTTCATATAATATGATGAAGCCCAATTAAAAATGAAACTCATAATACACTTCCAGACCCGAACTTTAAAGGAGGCCATAGATGCAAAGGCTTCCGGCTAAATATATATTAGTTTCTGCCATCAATGTACAAGTTATCTTGTAGTTTAGTGGTATGAATGTTAGTGTTTGTTTCTTAATAACCCGGGTTCAAATCATATATTTGACATTTTTCACATTTTTAAAGTGGGACCCACTTAATGCTGATGTGGCGCATTGAGGAGTCTTAAAACTCAACTATTATAAAATAGATTTTTACCTTTATAACGCCTACGATTATGGAAATGTGTCTATCAAGAATGTTCAGGTATACACAATTTTAAATGTAAGAGATAATAAATAAAAGTTAACTTTCTACATTACAATAATCAATCAGGCAACTGATGTGTTATAAAACTATTCATTGATAACACAGATATTCCATTTCATTTACCTTTTTAAATAAGCATTAGCGTGTATAAAAGAAAAGTATACAAATAGAAAGATAGCGATTGTCACTTAGCACCGTAGTTGATCCCTCTGCCACAAACTCGATACATGCGATACTGTTTGTAACATTCATTACCTTTTAACAATAACAACAAAGCACATGTAACTTTTGATTTCAGACCACAAATTTTATATATAAGTGGTGTGTTTGAAAATGTTTTCAAATCCGATAAGATATTATAACTCCCGCACTCAGCTCTTGTATACGTAAACTCCACAAATCAATATTTTTATCAAAATTTCTCGCAATATATATTATTCATCATAGGTTTAATCTGATCCAATACTTTTAAATAAATATGAATTCGAACAAGAATAAAACGAACGTATATGTTATATAATTAGTCACAACATATTTGACGTATTCAGTACAAAATACGTTTTTTTATAAAATTATCACAACTCGTATATAGTATGAAAAATAAATTAACCAGTATTTTTTTTACCCCAAGATAAAAAGACAGTGTAGAACACGTGCCAGCCGGCAATAGCGCGTGATCTCCGCGAGTAAAAAGGTTGACCTTTTCAAAATAATCAACGGCTCACACGGCGCGTAAGCGTCCAAAGATAAGATGATGTTGAAGTGCTACAGCTGTCCATAAACTTCCCGGGTCCCACCTTCACAAATGCTTTTATTATCTCCCGCCTCGTGATGTTGATTCCCCCACCCCCTTGAGTCAATCGTACGGCTTAGAACGCTCCCACCAGCTTTTAGTCAATCATCCGACGGTCAAACCTGAACTTGCAGTTTTCTTATGCTCCGCTCATCGGACGGTCGAGACTTGCCTGACCCAGTCAGGTGCATGAGCCACGTGAAACCGTAGGGAACGGATTCTTTACAAAAAATGCAACAAGTGGGCTGCACGAGGCACAGTATCAAAGCGCGTGGACCCACGCATTTTCCTTAATTTAAAATTTATAGTATAAAGAACATTAAAATTAATACTACTAAGTACTAACCAAGAAAAGTCAACATTAATTTAAGCATTGTTTGTTGACTAAACTTATATAAAAGACAATCTCTTTGATGATTTCAATTTATTTTTTGCTTTCACGACAATGTAAACTAAGTCGGTAAATCCCAATTAGTGGGAAGAATTTTACTCCACCCATCTAAAATGTCAATGTAGAAATTATATAGTCCAATATTTTGATTAGAAATTAATATTTTGCACCAAAACAACTTTTTCACTTATTTGACCATAACTAATAACAAGTAGAATCTTCGTTCAAGATGGTATAACCGTCAATATGAATTTTTTTTAAAAAAAATCTTTGTCAGAGTAATAAAACAGTGTTAAAATATAAATTACAAAATATTATAGAGTATTACTTGTTTATTGCTTGGGCTTGATGGGCCTTTACTGGACAACATAGGCTGCTCGTATGTCACTCTTACGTCACGTGAAATCATTTGGCGGTTGCTCAACTTTTTCTCCCGCGCCATGTTTTGTTTCTCTCTCTCAAACTTTCCTATTGATTTTGTCGCTGTAAAATGACGATTGAAAGTGTGAATTCAAAAACCAAATCGGAGCCGTCCAGGCACGGATTACTAGAGAGATGTCCGGCGAAAACGCGGCGTCGAATGCAATCTGTACGATCTGCTACGAAGATCTAAAACCGGTGGCTGAGAATCTGCAATCGATCTCCGCGTGTGGCCACGTGTTCCACGAACTATGGTCAGTAATAGCCACAATCAAATCATTATCTATTGATTTAATCTGCTAATTTCGATTTCTCGAAACCCTAGCTTGCAGCAGTGGTTCGAGTACTGCCCGGCCACGAACAAGCGAAACTGCCCGATTTGTAAGCAGAAGTGCTATCTGAAGGATCCGTTCCGTCTTTACTTTCAATCTTCCGGAAATCAAATCGAATCATCGGGGAAGGTAGTGGGAGTCGAGGAAGATCCGGTGGTGTTGAGAGGTGAAGTGAAGCGGCTCGAAGGGAAGTTACATAACCTTATTTCTGCTCTGGAGGAGCAGAAGAAGGTTAATGTTGAAGTCTCTGATCAGGTATAACTGATTCAGCCCTAATTACATTTGATTATTAATTACATTTGATTCAGCCGGGTCGTTCGTAGCCAAATGGCAACTGAGCTCTGCCTTCGGGCCCTAGGCGTTAGGGGTTCGACCCCTCCCTACCTCAGTTTGAGGATTTCGGTCCAAAGATAGAGCATAAGGTTATGTGAAACATCCTTTTTGTCTTCTCAGTTGCATCAATGCAAGGAGAAATTGGATGAGGAGAAAGTTAAAAGGAGGGAGGCTCTGCAAGAAATATCAACGAACAAACACTTGCTTAAATTAAAATCAGAGGTTACTATATAAACTAAAAACTCAACAGATTCCTTTTTGTATTATGAGTAGTAACTTACTTATTTTTTTATGTTTTGTTACAGGAATGTGCTCAGCTTACTACTCAGTGCGCTCAGATACAAGACAGAACTATGGCTCTTGCCAAGGAGCTCGCATCGCTTAAATTGTGGGATAAACATTTTATATTTTGCACTCTTTCAGTATTTGTGACACTAAACTATCAATCTTTGTGAGTCTAAATCTTGTTTTTTTTAATTTCAATCCAGGGTTTCAGATATAAGCTTGGAGGAAGATGATGTGCTGAAGCTAGCTTTGTTGGGGAATAACGCAAAGACAAAAGATACAATAGACACACTTGTCAAGTCCTTGGTTATCCGAAACAGGTATGTACATAGCTTCCCTGCTTTAATTTTTTGGACATGTGCTAAGTAGACTCGATTCATTATCTCACACTAGGTATGTATGGACAAGTATGGTGAGGTTTAAAATAGTTTTACCTTTTAATGACTTATGAAGATGGTGATTCATTTAACTTTATACATTTGTCCTGCATAGTAAAATAGTTTGGTCACTTGTTGTGGCTTCCATGCTCTCATTTTCATGTACTTTGTGGACTCGATTCATCATCTTCCATTATTCATGTACATTGCGATTCAACTTACTTTAACTATCTGTCCTGCATAGTAAAATAGTTTGGTCACGTGTTTACAGCAGGGAGATTGTAAATTCCGTTTCTTTCCTCTTAGGTCTCTAATACCAAACATTCTTGTGTGTCTATCCTTTGACAGGAGTTATAAGGAGTTGCTAGCCAAGTGCAATCAGCTGGGCAGAGGCGAAGCTCGATCTTCTGAGAAACTTGATAAAGCTTTGGAAAAGATGGATAGACTTAAGGTTAGTCTCCCAGTTCATGCATTCGTTCTTATCTTGTTTCTTTTATCCAGCTCATGTTATCCTTGTTCACTGAGCAGAAGCGAGTGAGGGAACTTGAGATGATAAATGAAGAGTGTGAGAACAGAGCAATAAGGGATGTAATAAAAGCTTCAAAGAATAGCAGTGATAGAGAAGTTTCCAAGCCTACAACCGAAAACTTGGTTTCGTTCAGAAAGCTTCCATCTGGCAACATAGTGGACAGAATCTCTACACCACCTGCTAAGTTGGAGAAGAATGATGGCTTCACCAATCATGGATCATGTTTAGGTGGAGCTGGAAGAGAAGACTCCTTTTTTGGCAAAACGGTTATTGAGGTGGATGATGATGTTCCTGAAACCACCATTTCCGGCATCAGACATTCGGATTCTACTATGAAAGACGAGAAGGTTGAGGATACTAATGTTCAGGAGAAACGTGATGATCCGGTAGTCAAGGATATTAAGTTTAACATCAGAGAAGACTCCACATTCTCAGCGGGTAATTTTGTTATACATCATCATTGCAGGTTCGGATTGAACAAAAGATTTGAAGATTGTTAAAAAATAAATGCAGGGGCTGGAGACAGTTGGTTATCAAGTGGAAAAGATCAAAATCTCAGAAGATGGAGCAAACAAGGAGAGAGAAACGAAGCTCCTCATTCACTAGGAGGTTCTGTCTCAGGAAAGGATGATCTTATCTCTGTTGGACCTGATGGTAAAGGTGGAAGAATCAAAGTGTTGAGATCTAAACCCCAATTTTCTGTGAGTTTTCTCTTTTTTTTTTTTGCTTCCTACCAATCAGTTTACATAAACTTAAAGTCATTTCCATAGTTTCTGAGCCTATCTGTTAAACTTGGAACCTTAGCTAATGTTGTTGTTCTGTATTGCATAGAACGCCAATGCAAGCGCAGGAAGTGGTAAGAGATTCAAGAGTGGAACAAAAACAAGTGGTTCGTCCTCTCAAGGGTGTCTGCAGATCGAACACTTTTTTGGAAAACCCAATCGCTAACTATTCGAGGTCTGTAAAATCAACTTTCTGGAAGAGATAATAAAAGATTGGCTAAACTATCTTGTTCTAGATAATGATAACCACCATATAAACATTGCTGACTGTTTGTAGCACATAAAACCTGGTACTATTTTCTTTTTAGTTTAGAGTTTGAATACGAAAAGAATGGCTAAACTATAATTTAAGCTCTAATACTCAACATTGGGTTGTTCTTGCATTCAAAACCTGAGAGATTATCTTTGATTGTGATGCTAAAGATGGCATTCAATGTCTCTAAAGTTTTAAAGTGTGGCATGCAATGCAGGTACGTAACAAAACTGCTGATCTAGTTGCTCACTGTTCATATCTGTTCAATCTTTAGATTCATGGTTTAATGAACATTGCTCCTTCTGTTTCATATTAGTAGGGGTTTACAGTTTTTGTACAATTAATAAGAAATGATTAACTTTTAGTCATTTTACATTTATCATATCTAATCCAACCCCTAAAAAAAATCATTCAATAATATAAATGGGTCAAAAACACTAAACAACATTAAAGATTTGCATAAAAATCTGAAAACATTATTTAAATTGAAAAAAATAAATCTTAAAACACCTATTATTAAAATAAAATAGAGGGAGTATTGGTTAAATGAGAAGCCATTTTTGTGTATTTTAAGCATAATTCATTTTGAAGTTTTTCAACAATTATTACGTCGACCAAAAAATTAATATTAACGTATTTTAACAGTTGCTTAAAAATAACGGATTTAACGAACTTCTAGTTTGTCGTATAAAAGACAAAAGAGTCATCTTTTTTTTTTTTTATCATTACTGTTATCTGACTATCTTTGAAGTCTTTTCATTCCTCGCCTCTAATGCCGACGAGCACACCGCCAAAAAAAGCTCAAGAAACCAATGTCGCCGTCACTGTTTTCAACACTGCATAAGGACCTCGCATGGCTTATCTTAGCCCGCGTGCCGAAACGCTTATACCCAATCCTCGCTTGCCTCTCTGTCTATATCTGCAGAACTGAGAATGATCAGTTTGTTTCCGTGGACCTAGCTTCTGCGTTGCAATAGGTTCTTTAGGCATGAGAACTTAGGTTTTTTTATACACCTATAATTATAATAATCGTCTCAACTTTCGGATGGCCATGCATATGGATGTCACTAGACAAAAACATTTTTGTGAGGAAAGATACACAAGTCACAGTTTATGATCCGTGAGATGGTAAACGAGAAAAGATTGGTATAAATAGTGATCATTTGTGCAGTCACTATCTTACTCTTGAATGAGCTTCTTGTACAATAACCATATTGCCTCTCTCTCTTTTTGTTTCTCTTTGCTTATCACACGAAGAAGACAGTTAAAAAGTTTCAGCTCAGGATGACTTTATACTTAGTCACTCACACGTTGAAATAGCCACACCCTTGGCCCGGAGAGAAAGCAACACTTGTACTACTAGAGAGTTAAGCCTCTGACTCCAACCAAGTCTTTACAACACTTAAGACTATTCTAAGCTAAACAACTTCTCCTAAGGTTTACATACTTGAACCTTTCATCGTCTTGATCATATGACTATAATCTTTCAAATGAATCAAATCTCCACCTTAGGCATTATATCAATCTCCAATACCAACTTGTATCCTCAACCAGATACACACTCCCTTTCAAGGATGTAACTCTGTATCGTCTTGAAACCCGAAGCATCTGAAATGCTTCATTGACCCTATACACTGGTAGTAATACCTTTGTAAGAATGTCAGTTGTGTTGTAAGTCGTGGCAATCTTCAAGACATGTGCCACTCCTTTGCTGATCAATCTTTATTGAAAGTGATACTTCACTGCAACATGCTTCACTCACTCGTGGAACTCTGCATTATTTGACAGTGGAATAGCACTTTGTGAGGCACAATGAATCTCCATTGTTTCCTTACCAAAAGCCAACTCTTCTGCTAGACCCTTCAATCATATACCCTCTCTTATATCTTCTGAAAGTGAGATGTACTTTCTCAGTAGTTGAAAGTGACTCAACCTTTTGTAACTGAGACCTCCTATAAACCAAATCTGTTGCATAGTCTGAATCACAATAATACATGATCACGAAAACCCCTTTTCTTCTGTACTCCTGTGTTCTGTAGGAGACTTTAGTTTTAAGTGAGCTCCCATAGGTGTGGCTGTTGATTTACACTGATCCATCTTGAAGTTTCCTAGAACTCTCCTTAAGTAGCTTTCTTGAGATACCCATAAACAACCTACTACTCTGCTCTCTCAATTTCCATACCTAGTATTTTCTTAGCATCTCCCAAAATTTTCATTTAGAACTCACTATTTAGCAAAGTCTTCAATTTCTTTGACACTATCTTTCATTGTGATGTTAAAAATGTTACTCAATGTCTCGTACGCTTTGAAGTGTGGCATATAGTGCAATCAAGTCATAAGTTTTACAAGCTTCAAATAGAAGGACAGCAGTACCGGTCCTGACATGGGAAAGACCAGAAGCAATTTTCAAAAAATTGGCCATTTTTATAAGAACGTTTATATACTATTATAATAATTTTCTTATAAAAAGGCTGATTTTTTTAAGTATTTTTTGAAGGCCGGAAGCGGTTGCTTGTAATGCTTCCCGTCAGGGCCGGTACTGCAGCAGCAATGAAGAGTTTTTTCCCAAGTTTCTCAGCCAATATAATTATTAAAAAATATAAATAGGAGAGAGCTAATAAATTTTTGAAAACCGTCTATTTTCTCTTCCAAAAAGAGTTATTCTTCTAGATTCACTATCCAATAGGATTGCATCATTTCATATTTGATATCTTTTAAAAAAAGAAACAAAATCTTGTTAAGTTATATTATGTTTTTAAAAATAAAATACAAAAATAAATAAATACTAATAATAATTAATAAAAACGAAAAGTATTTTTTTTTAAAAAGTTATTTTAAAACTAAACCCTAAACTCTAATCCTAAACCCTAAACCCTAAACTCTAATCCTAAACCCTAAACCCCTAGGTAAATCATAAACTTTTGGTAAATTTTATAAAAAAAAATCTTTAAAACAAATTCTTTTCACTAAAACACTAAACCCTAAACTCTAATCCTAAACCCTAAACCCTTGGATAAATCATAAACACTAAACCCTAAACTCTAATCCTAAACCCTAAACCCTTGGGTAAATCATAAACACTAAACCCTAAACTCTAATCCTAAACCCTAAACCCTTGGGTAAATCATAAACACTAAATTTTTATAGATTTATCCAAAGATTTGTGATTTACCTAGGATTAGACTTTAAAGTAGTGTTAAAATATTTTCTTTAAAAATAATATTTTCGTCTTTATTAGTTATTAATTATTTTTTGGTGATCGAACCTCTCTTTTAAAGATTGCCAGAGGTCCAAAGGTTTCTCTTTCGTAATATATTCATCTTTTAAACCATCATGTATGTGGTGTCGTAAAAATATCATGGCTTTAGCCTTTTTCTCATCCGACACCGTTTTTGTATTATCGATGGTTTCCAAAAGCCAGTTTCCTCTCAGGTGCATCTTTGCACCCACTGCCCAGGTCATATAATTATTTCCCGTAATATCCAGGACATTTATTTTATCAGATTCGACATGATAACTGTATTAATAGAATAATAATTTAAAAATATAATAAAGACGATAATTTAAATGCATAATTTAAATGCATAATTTAAAGGCATAAATTTAAAAGCATAAATAAAATTGAAGGCTTAGCCTTTCAAATGATCCGAGGAGACATAGTCTACCATGTTGATCACTTTTATCAAGGTTTGAGGAGACATAGTCTGCCATGTTAACCTTTTCTTTTTATTCAAGGTCCCAGGAGACTTAGTCTACCATTTTTTATTAAAGATCCGAGGTGACATAGTCATCCATTTTGATATTTTTTATTCACGGAGGTAAAGCCTATCACGTGTTTCTCTGATCGTGACGGCATAGCCATCTTATCGATCAGTCGGGGAAGGCAAGGCCTATCATCCCGAAAAATAAACGGAGAAGGCCTAGCCTCTTACTCCGAAACAATAATAAAATTACAATAATAAAAATTATTGAAATACATAAATTAAACATTACCTCACCGGTATAACCTTGTTTGATATAGGATCAAAGCTTCGTGCTGATAACGTGTTATAAAATAAAATGAGGTAATAGATATAAGTATAATTTTATTTATATTGCAAAGAGAGAGACAAAATAAAGAGAGGGATCGACATGAGAGAGATCTGTTATATATTTTCTTCTCATAAGTACAATCCTATATATAGTAAAATCTAGTAAAGGAAAATTAGACACGTGCATAGTGATAGGGATATATAATTGCTGAGTCATGGACACTTGTCCATGTGAATAATCACATCTTTAACAAGTTTTAATCTTTTTATTTTTCTTCTTTTAATATAATTTGGTTTATAGTGTTGGACCTGTTAGTGTCAAATGGGTTTTGGCCTTTATTAATATAGCCGATGATAAACTAAAACCAGTGTTGGCCGCGTTTGCGGCCGAGAAAACGCTGTTTGATGACCAGCCGCCGCGACTTTAGCCAGTTTAGTTTTGAAAATTGTTCGACAATTAATCTTCCGATTAATAACATAAGACTTTACAAATCGGATTTATGACCGACTTTTAACAAAAATAAATACTAGTTACTGGTCCAAGTTAGCATATGGGTCTTCGCTGAAATTCAACGAAGGACCTTCATTCTACGAAACATTACGTCTTATTTATAGAAGTCTGAGGAGTTAAACCTCTATTTAATGGTTAAACGTGTTTTCAGTTACCACTAGACCACATCAATATATATTCTTAAATTCTCATACAACATTAGATATAGATATATATAACTGAAAATTAAGAAAATGTGTTTAAAATTAATCCCTAATTAATCTTTGATTTTCTCTCAACTCGCTAGGCGCTGACTGGCCACATATGTTACGCTTAGCGCGTTCCCGAACATGGACTAAAACTAATTGGTACAATAATATATAATTTTAAATTATCATAGATAATATATCATATATTTATTTTAAAATAATATTTTTTTTGTCGACTTTAAGTTTCATTAACTATGTCATAAGGTATTGTTTACAAGTTAGCATTAGAATTTTACAACTTAAAAGCCTAAACATGCAATTAGTATATTAAAAACCATATTACAAGAAACTCGAGAAGCTTCAGAAGTCATGCACTGTTCCCTATCTTCAACATGCGTCTCACATGTATCTGACAACTGGTACAACACCGCTTCGAGGCTCCATCATCGGAAGCTCTCTGTAGTGCAACTCGAATTCTTCTCCCCATTGTAGCATCTTTCTGAAATTTGAATAGAGCAAATATGGAAAACTCAGCCTTTACTCTATTCAAGCACCATGAATCTCCTGTAGATTTTGTTGGGGACTCTCTCTGTCTAGCTTGATTAAAACGCTGATGCCAATGAACCTTTCACTCAAGCCTCAATTATTTTGATTGAAATAACTTGATTCTTTGTTGATTCAAATAGAGGAAAGTTCAGTCAGATGAAGATAGATATGTTGTTGGACCGTTATCAAAACGCCAACTCTGCTAAATCTTCTTCAAAAAACCAAAGAAACCCAATAAAACTCAATCATCCCTCAACAAATAAACTTTACCCATAAACACTTTTTTATGGCTATATTAAAACGGTAAAGATTGACTCTCATGAAGAGAATGTTCAATTGAAATAAAGAACAAAGCATCCAATCAGGATCTTTATTTATCTTCAACTTTATCAGAGAAGATATAAATGACAAACACTCTAATTCAATGAAGCTACACGATAAAATTGCCCACGCGAATTGAGAATCGCCTTAGAGAAGGAAGTAAGTCGATCATCCGCTCCAAGCTTAGCTATATGATACAACCCAAAAACAAAAAAAAAACAAATAGATTAAGGCGACTGGCGCCTGGCGGCGCCACCGACCACCTGAACGAAAATCTTAGGTTGGTTACTTTCTAGAGTGAAGTTGGAGAAAAACTAGAGAGATAGTTTTATTTATCAATAATATATTTGTTATTAAAAATAATAAATTTTATTCAATTGTATAAATTATTCAGTAATTCTGCTTTACAAAAGGAGGAGTGAGAAATAACCTTATGAAAGAAAAAGATATATAAATAGTGTAATTTTAAAAGATGAAAGTTTACTTATTGTTAACACTTACAGATTTCACTAAAGGAACATCAGTAAAATTATATTGTCATCCAAAGATGATCTAGGTTTGGTTGAAGAGTGGGATGCTCAATCGTTTGAGCTAGATCTGGATTAATTTTACAGTGAATTTCAAAATCGAAGAATATATTTAATCTCCTTTCGTTCAAAAAGTTACTTATAATGTTTTGGGGGTTAAAGTTTAATTAGTCATAAGTTGTATATATACTCAAAATGAATGTGGACAAATTGCTTTTGCATGTTAATATCTTTGTTTAACATTTACTTTCGTGTTTGTTTGGTTTATTACAAATTACAATGAACATAACTTTCATCATAATTTATGTTTTCATCACATTTAAGAATTGTAAATTGTTTTACTGCAAGCAAGTCTAGCTAACAGAAAACAAAAGAAGTTGAGTAATACAGCGTCATTTCTTTTCTCTTGCATAGAATGTTTTAATCAATATATTAGTACAAAGTTCATCTTATGTTTGGTAGTGGAAAGAAACAATACATGTATTAAACTATTAATGGTAAAAACTAGGAAGTGCTATTGGGGTTTTCTTTTTTAATGGAAAACGTGTATGTGAGTAACCATTCCTTAATAATTATTTTTGGAAGTTTGTTTATGCACCATTATCATACTTAACAAAAATGATTTAGTTTATTTTTAATGGAAAAACATGTATCAAGTAACCATTCTTTAATAGTTTTTTTGGAAGTTTGTTTATGCATCATAATCATGCTTAACAAAAATGATATAGTTTAATTAAAAAATATGACATAGTTTAGATATGAAAGACATTCATCTTCGTTTAATAACCTACTAGCTTTGGCTAATGATGGATCTTACTTAAGAACTTGGCTTCAAAAACTTGGAAGTGCTTCTTCATCTCAATCACAGCCTTCTCAGCAATTGGATCAATCTCATCTTCGTACTTCTCATACAGCTTTGGCACCGTGTGAATCAATACAAAACCTGTTGGTTTCAAAAATAAAACTATTAAGATATAACCTCTAAATAGACCCCCCCTCTCTCCCAAAAAAAAATAGAGTATGAGAACAAGTTTTGTGCATGCTTACATATGTAGAGCAATGTCAAGAAGCTGAACCAGTTTCCGATGATAGATATGAGCCAAAGTCCTATGACTACCTTTGTTTCAGAAACAAATGTAAATAATTTCAGAGAGTGATGTAACAAACAAACAAAAAGACTAAAAAGTAGTACCAGTGCAAAGTTCTTGATGTCTCTCTCTAAAGCAATGCTCCTTAACGTTGCAAGAGCACAGTTAACCTCAAATGTAAATGCAGAAGCAGCTTGGAGTAATGGCTTCTCAGGGATATAAATCTCCACTATCTTCTCAGGAGACCTTTTAAATGACCATTTAAAATTTTCATATTACCAAACAGGTTTCACTTCCATATTATTTTCAAGACAAAAAAGAAAGAAAGAGATTTTACCTGTTGAGGGCATTGGACCAGACGAATGAGAGAAGCAGAAATAGAATCGATCCACGACAAACAAATGTAAGAAGGCGACAATGTCCGAAACCAAACAAGAGCCAGATCACAGTCACTACACCCACTAACCCTGCCGTGACCTTCTTGTCCCTCCATAGCAACACATCCGCAGCTTCAACACATCACACAAACCATTTGGTGATTAGGTCACATTATCAAATCATAATTAATTTTTAAATGATCTAATTAGGTATCACTATAATCATCGTCCAAATATATTGAGAAATGAAAATGGGAACGAGTGAAGGAGAGTGTATCGTACGTTTACCTCCGCCGAGAACCATGTGGATCGGTCGTTCACGTCCAAAAATACGGTAGATCGGTGCATTGATGGGAACGGGAGAATCTGGTATCTCGCTATCTGTATCTGACATGGATAGTGAATCCTCTTCTGTTACAATGTTTTTCATCAGTGGCTCCTCCAATGGACCCACTCTCTCTAGCTGTTCCTTCTCCTTATCCATTTCTCTATCTGATTTCGAAACCTTTTGTGTGTCGTCGTAACGAAATCGAGAGATTAAAGAGGCAAATCTGTTTATATATACCGCTTGAGCCTAGTGATTCGTTATTCCCGAGCCTTGTGTTCTAAGCCTCTCTCAACAACTTTTGTTATATAATTAGTCACAAAATATTGACGTATTCAGTATTTTAGAAAATTATCATAACTCGTAGTATGAAAAATAAATTAACCAGTATTTTTTTACCCCAAGATAAAAAGAATTTACGGGTGTCACAGTGTAGGACACGTGCCAGCCGGCAATAGCGCGTGATCTCCGCGAGTAAAAAGGTTGACATTTTCAAAGCCATTTTTGTGTATTTTAAGCATAATTCATTTTGAAGTTTTTCAACAATTATTACGTCGACAAAAAAAATTAATATTAACGTATTTTAACAGTTGCTTAAAAATAACGGATTTAACGAACTTCTAGTTTGTCGTATAAAAGACAAAAGAGTCATCTTTTCTGATCATTACTGTTATCTGACTATCTTTGAAGTCTTTTCATTCCCCGCCTCTAACATCGACGAGCCACCGCCAAAGATGTCTCCTTCGTCACAGTTTTCAACACTGCATAAGGACATCGCATGGGGCATCTTAGCCCGCGTGCCGAAACGCTTATACCCAATCCTCGCTTGCCTCTCCAAGAACTTACTCTCTCTTGTTCGCTCGCCGAACATTCACGAGATCCGCTCTTCCCTTGGCAAAGACTCTGTCTACATCTGCTTCATGCACAAGAATGATGATGGCGTCGAGGTCCCACGTTGGTTCACTCTCCGCAGAACTGAGAATGATCAGTTCGTCTCTGCCGACGACCTCGTGTTTCCTGATCAAGAAGAAGAGCCTTCCATCATCGCTTGTGGTCCAGAGATTTTCTTTATCTCCGGATCATTTGTTCCTTCATCAACCGTATGGATCTTTGACACTCGAACTAACGAGTTTCGTCGAGGACCAAGCATGAACGTGAGACGCTCCTTCAAGAGCGTGGGGTTAGTAGGGAGTAAGATATACGTGGTGGGAGGCTATAGGAACGATAAGATTCATCAAGCTGAAGCATTCGACGTGAAGACGCAGACTTGGGCACCAGCACCAGCACCGAGTCCTGTCCAAGAAAGGTTGGCTTTTGCGACTGCTAATGTGTCGTTAGACAGGAAGGTTTGTGCGTTATTGTCTGTTGGAGACATCACTATTTGCTACGATCCTAGAGATGGTTCTTGTGAGGTCTTTGATTTGCCAAAAGATGAGTGGTGGGGGACTGGCGTGTGTGTGATCGACAATGTGCTCTACGTTTATTACGCTAGTTTGGGGTTGATGTGGTATGACACTGGGAGGAAGCTATGGAGAGTGGTGAATGGTTTGGATAATATGAAGAAGGTTCGGTCTGTTGCGATGGCAGAGTACTATGGGAAGATGGCGTTTTTATGGGAAGATTCTGCTTTTGTTGGTTGTGCAATGAAGGAGGTTTGGTGTAGGATGATTGGTTTGGTTAGGAGTGAAGGAGGAGGGATTGTTGGGGATGCAGAACCGGCTCAGCTTATGGGGAGTGTCCCTAGTGGCTATAGGTTGCAGCATTGTCTATCAGTTTCTGAGTGAAGAGGAATAGACATTGTGAGCTAATTATCTTGAAGTTGTTGATACTACTATGCTTTGTTTCTTTGTTTTCCAGACTAAAAAGAAGATTGCTCTGTGTGTTTGTTAATGATGAACAAAGCTTGTGATTTGTTTACATTTGACCTGAAACGAGTTTACTATAAGTTAACTTGTATGTCAAGTTTCTTTTAAAATGCTAAATTTCTGCGTTGCAATAGTTTCTTTAGGCATGAGAACTTAGGTTTTTTTATACACCTATAAATATTTAATCGTGTCAATTTTCGGATGGCCATGCATATGGATGTCACTAGACAAAACAGTTTTTGTGAGGAAAGATACACAAGTCACGTTTATGATCCGTGAGATGGTAAATGAGAAAAGATTGGTATAAATAATGATCATTTGTGCAGTCAAAACGTGTGTGTAATATATCTTACCGGAGTTGGGATAACCAACAACCAGTGGCGGACCCAGGTTTTTTTTGTCAAACCAAGTCTTTACAACACTTAAGATTCTAAGAGCATAAATATCCCAAGTTTTTTAGGTAGGTTTTTCAATTGTTTGTGGGCTCCGCTGACACATAGATCACACTTAAATTTGTATAACCAGTTTCCAAAGTTACCAAATAAAGATTAGTGTTTTTTCAATTTTTTTTTGGGGATTTAAGGACTTCATTTTGGGGATTTTCCGATAATCATGGTCTAAGCTAAACAACTTCTCCTAAAGTTTACATACTTGAACGGTTCGTCGTTTTGATCATATGACTATAATCTTTCAAATGAATCAAATCTCCACCTTAGGATTTATATCAATCTCCAATATACCAACTTGTATCCTCAACCAGATATACATGCCCTTTCAAGGATGTAACTCTTTATCGTCCTGAAACCCGAAGCATCTGCAATGCTTCATTGACCTTATACACTGGTAGTAATACCTAATGTTAGTTGTGTTGTAAGTCATGGCAATCTTCAAGACATGGACCACTCCTTTGCTGATCAAATCTCTACCCAAAGTGATGCTTCACTGCAACATGCTTCATTCACTCGTGGAATACTGCATTCTTTGATAGTGCAAAAGGACTTTGTGAGTCACAATGAATCTCCATTGTTTCCTTATATCTTCTGAAAGTGAAATGTACTTTCTTAGTAGTTGATAGTGACTCATCTAATTGTAACTGAGACCTCCAGCTAATAGTATTACCCCCTGTAGTGAAGACAATACGATTTATAAACCTTCTATATATAATCCATATCTGTTACATAGTCTGAATCACAATAACGCATGTTCACAAAATCCCGTTTTCTTCTGTAACATAACCGAGTATCTGATGAATTGGTTTACTCATGATATGGCTTGCTAGACCAACCAAGTATCCTAGATCAGGCCTTGTTCCTATCATCGCGTACATTATGATTCCTACTGCATCCTGGTAAGGGGCACCTTCTCCTTGTACTCATGTTTTGTAGGAGACTAGTTTTAAGTGAGCTCCCCATAAGTGTGGCTGTTGATTTACACTGATCCATCTTGAAATTTCCTAGAACTCTCCTTAAGTAGCTTTCTTGAGATACCCACAAACAACCTACTACTCTGCTCTCTTAATTTCCATATCTAGTATTTTCTTAGCATCTCCCAAATTTTTCATTTAGAACTCACTATTTAGCAAAATCTTCACTTTCTTTGACACTATCTTTCTTTGTGATGTTAAAAATGTTACTCAATGTCTCTTATGCTTTAAAGTGTGGCATATAGCGCAATCCAGTCATAAGTTTTACAAGCTTCAAATAGAAAGACAACAGCAATGGAGAGTTTTTCCCAAGTTTCTCAGCCAAAAGAATTATATAAAAAAAAAGGAGAGAGCTAGTAAAATTTTGAAAACACTCTTTTCTCTTCCAAAAATTATTGAGAGACTGAGATGACACATGTCCTCATCTGAGTGGCACAATATTCATTTAAAGCATTTAAGTTGAATTCAAAATTAATATTATTGTTAAGAGATTAAATGTGAAATTAAAGACCTATCTACAAAAAGTCAATTTTGTATTTAATCCAAACTTTGACTTCGTTGAATAGGTTAGTTTTGTATTTGACTAAAATGTTAAAATTTGACCAAAAAGAAAAAAAAAATATAGACTTCAATTTCAGTATACTAATTTCAAAAAAATGTAGACATCACATGAAGTCTACTATTTTATTTTGGTCAAACGCAAAACTAACCCCCCATATTTGAGGATATACTTCGTAGACGTATTGGTATGCCTACTTAATAGTTTTTGAAACATGATCACTAACTATATAATCCCTCATTTTTTACAGGAAATGGTTCAGTTACTTGTTGTTGTGTATGAACTTATGTTTAATTTGTAGGTTTCTTTTGTATTGTTATGTAGTGTTAAACAAGTCTGATTTCCGTAATGTAGACTTTTTTTTTAAATGTGTACAACAAAAAGAGACTTCTTTATTACTCTGCAGGTAGGAAAGTAGACAAACACTAAAATCTACTCTCTTTTATTGCTATTAGAGTTGTATTAATTTGTATTAGTCTTTTTTGTGCTCAAAATCTCTAAAATTGCTATAAAGCAAATCTGCAGATTACATAATTTTAACACATTCAATATTGTGTGTATTAGTTGTTGTTTTAGCTTATGGTGGTTTTTAACTGTTTGGTTGACTAGAATATTTTATGAAAAACTAATTGCTAACAAAAATTAATAATATCATACAAGTGCAATACAATTAAAAAAATTAATACAATATTTACTGATTATGTATCAGAATAATTATTTACAAATAAATATTTTGTAAAGATAAATTATTACAAAGATTTTTTTTTTTAAAACTCTAGAGTGTTGACTTATTCATAATATTGATATCTCAAATGACATTTTGTAAATGAGTACCTGCAAAATAAGATATAATTATGAGAAACACAAGCTAAACATATTCAAATTATATTTTAGTAGACTTCATAAAAGTTTACGGGTTCAATAGACTTTATTTAAAGTATACTAGCCTTAATTTTTAAATAAACTCCATGCCAAAAATATTTTCAGATTTCAAAATGTACAATTACAAAATTTGAAAATAGTATTTTCTGAAAAATAATTCAATATAATTTTCAACAACTTTTTTTTTTGTATTTCTAAGCAAACAAATCTTCATTTCCTCTTTATTTTCATCTATAAAACTCTCATAACTTTCATTTTCATAAACATAACTTCATATTTAATGTTTTCTTATTAGGAAAAATAACAAAATTATACAATCTAAATACATCGCGCGCCGATATTACCTAGTATTTTAGGTAAAGAGAATGAACGTAACAAAATTGTTAGGTTCATGTACATTCAGCAACCACACATTTGTAGTCGGGTGGTCAAGCGTTCCGTGGATTCTTAAAGGAACCCGAGTTCGAATCCGCACCACACCTGATTTCCACAATGTGTGGTCATCAAGGCTTTCACATTCTCTCCGAAAAATGGTTTACCATTTTTTTCCATGTAAATTCAGCCTTTTGATTCTCGGTTTATTATAAATCTTATATATTAAAACAGAAGTCATGACTTGACTTCATGTGTGATTTTTTTAAAAATGAACTATTACTAGAAAGTTATGTTACATTAAATCTCTAATAATCTTATCATTATTATATCTTATAAAAAATCATATGTATAATAACAAAGATGCACTTAACAATTTGTTTTGGTAAATTATCCCACATCTTCCAACTTAGTCACGCAAAATATGTTAATACAGATAATTTTAGGAATCTTCTATTATTTATAAGGAAATATGTCAATAATAGTTAAATGCATCCACAATATGTTAACAAAAATCACAGATTAGTAATATGGAATATTCATATACCCTAACAAAATTTACACGCTATATATATTAGATAAATTTATTTCGATGTAAATTTGAAAAATTATATTGTTTAAAAAAAAGAAATTGTTTAAAAAAAATCCTTTTTAATAAAATTCTTTATAATATTAATTTATGAAGCTGTAAGTTTAGTTTTTAGCAAAGAATTCTTCGAAGTTTATATTATCTTTGCAAATCAAAGTATACCAATATTTAATCAAGCTCTATTTATATTACTTTATCTAAAAATGAAAAACTAATCTAACAAACAATAAAATATAGAAGAAGAAACAAACACATGTTTGAAAAACATGTAATATAGAAAATTTGAAACAATCTATTTGATTAAAACACTTATTATATAATATTATTATGTTTGAAAAATATTTACTATACATATCGTAAATATGTGAATTACTATAATATATAACAACTTACAAGTGAAAACAAAATGTTTATATAACTATAAACGAAAACAAACACCCGCGCGGTTGCGCGGGTCAAAATCTAGTTATCGGTTAAAATGAAAAGATGGTTATTACGTTGACCAAAATAAATGAAAAAATAAATATTTAAAGAAAACAAAATAACGGACTTAAACGAACCTCTAATTTGTCATATGTATAAAAAGATAAGGTCGTGTTAACTGCCTATCTAACTCTGAAGTCTTTCTTTCCCGCCTCTAACGCCGACGAGCACACCGCCAAAAAGAACTCAAGAAACCATTAATGTCTCCGTCACAGTTTTCATCACTGCATAAGGACCTCGCATGGAGCATCTTAGCCCGCGTGCCGAAACGCCTATACCCAATCCTCGCTTGCGTCTCCAAGAACTTACTCTCTCTTGTTCGCTCGCCGGAGATTCACAGGATCCGCTCTCTACTCAACAAAGACTCTGTCTACATCTGCTTCATGCAAGACGTAAACGGCGTCAACACCCAACGTTGGTTCACTCTCCGCAGAACTGAGAATGATCAGTTCGTCTCCGTGGACGACCTCGTGTTTCCTGATCGTGAACAAGAGCCCATGCCTTCCATCATCGCTTGTGGTCCTGAGATTTTCTTTATCTCCGGATCAATCTTTCCTTCATCAACCGTATGGATCTTTGATTCTCGAACCGGCGAGTTTCGGCAAGGACCA